GCATCACTGATATCTACTTTATGTTCACCATCTCAAAAAATACCTGTGAGTTTACTGACTTTCGTATATGGATTCTTAGGAACGTGTTTAGAAACCGTTCTCCCTATCCTTCCTACACATTTTCTACCTCAGGTACATGCAAATTCATAGGTGCAGTTGGAGATAATTTCGAAAAGGTATTGACCTTTAATAGTACAACGGACAATTGGTGTTATATAGTGAAACTAGTCGAGCCACAGTAAATCTTCCACTGAATGCTACCATGATTCTTCCATCGATTACTCTTGAAATACCATCTACCTTTAACAGAAGAAAGATGAAGACAGGTATCTTGAAAGGTTATTTATGATTTTCAAGATGTTCTTTTCCATATTTTGCAATACATTTTTTCTGCTGTTCATTTTGCACAAGATTCTCTTTCATAACAGCCGAATTTTCATTTTATTGTTTGATCATAATTTGTAAAGTGAAGGAAGATTACGACGTTGCGGAAAAATTGTTTAAGCAATCAATTAAGTGTGAATGACATTTTATTATTTACCACATACATTTATAGATTCATGTTTTATAAAGTCAAAATATAGAAATGACTGGCAATATTTATGTAACGGTCAAAATAAATTCTTTGTTTCTTAATTAAGGCCTAATTACTGAGTGTATATTATTTCTACAGACATTTATTTTACTGTCGGAATTCAAAACTAATATCTATGTAATTTCAATGGTTAAGATCATGAGTCAGTTGAAACTAGACTACCATGGAAAACCTGGAAGTACTGGACGGCCGTCTCGTCCTATTATGGGACTCCTCAGCAGTGCACATCCACGACCTCGCCCCCTGCGAGATTTGAACCCAGGACATATTGGTTTCGTGCATGAACACTTAACCACTAGACCACTGAGCCGGCATACAACGGTGTTCATGTCTAATTTCAACTAATCCATGAAATTTAGCGACACATCCACCATTGTCTTCAGTGAGTTACTATCCCACAACAGACCTGGTTGAACTCCACTGGTCACTACTTCTCACTAGAACTCCAGGATATACCTCTTGAAGCCAGTCACTAGTGAGCATATGTTGATCATTATCAGAAGGGGTTTTGTGGAGATTGTAGTAATTTCAATGGTTAAAATTATGAGTCAGTTAAAGCTAGACCACCATGGAAAACCTGGAAGCACTGGACGAGGTCGTGGATGCGCACTGCTGAAGAGTCCCATAATAGGACGAAACGGCCGTCCAGTACTTCCAGGTTTTCCATGGTGGTCTAGCTTCAACTGACTCATGATCTTAACCATTGAAATTACTACAATCTCCACAAAACCCCTTCTGATAATAATATCTATGTACTGAAATACCCGGGTGTTAATTTGAGGTCTGTCACATCCGCCGAATACAAAACTGAAAAATAAGAATCCATCTTACATTAATAATCTGTTTTAAAGAAGGAGTTCGTATTGTTTTGGTGATTTATTTAGGATTTTAAAGTTATTTAGGTTCATCTGAAATACAAAAATACTGTCGTACTAAACCACAAACTGATTGTAGTTAGCAAAAGATACAAAATATTGGATCTTAACTTAATGTCTTTGCAGTAACAGACTCTTTACTTCAAGATTTCGGAATTATTACGATTCGTAGTGGAGATTATAGTCAACTAAGGAGGCCTAAGTTCCAAGGAGAAAGGTTTCGAAAATACATTATACACGTTTCAGCTTATTGAATATTCACTTCATCAAAGCTGCACTATTAATAATAAAACCGATATTGACCGTGGGATTATATTCTAGGTTATTCTAAGAAAGTAAGCAATATATTGTATTTTATAAAAATCTTCAGATTCTAAAATACAAATAATCTAAAACCAGAATATTAGTTGACCCAGTAAATAGACATTAAATTCAACACATGAGTATTAGTGATAAGACCTAGTCATAAATATGTGTTTTTTTATCACATTGTGATCATATGTTCATTTTACCTGTTTTAAACATGACATGAATATTTATTATAGAGAGTTGTATAAGCAAACAACATTATTTTCAATTATATTTCCTTAAGCTTTACTTTCTTATAAATAGTTATGTGGATTTTAAGGATAAATATGTTAATGCTTTTTTTATATAAATATCTAAAGTTTTTATAAGCTACCCTTTCAACATGTGCATATCCTTTCTTGTTGTAATGGTATTTTTCTGTGTCAAGAAATACGCTAATACAACCAAATCACTTAAATGACCTTGAAGTGTTAAAAACAAAAATTTTCTAATAAGTGGTTTGGGATTAATGAGATTAAATTTTGTTAGTCGGGGTTTATAAGATTAATAATATAAAGTTTGGTATTAAACAACAAATTATACTGACCTTAAAAATCCATTTTTATTTTATAATATTCAATTATTACATTTGTTCATCATGAGCATTTACTTAATTGAGTAAGAGTGTATTAATTGCTGTCATAATAAGAAACATATATATTCGTTAAAATAGATTACTTAAACTGATTCTAACTAGAAAATATTCATTGCCTTAAAATATTAGAAGCAACTGGATATCATATTTATCCCTGAATTTCCCTATTTCATTTGCAACGTCTTCAATCGAAACGTGAAAAGAACCCCATCAATGAACGACATCATAAGCATTTCAGTTGACGGGCAACTACATTAAAATTCATTAAATTTTTCAGTCTAAATATCATACATGGTGGGTCCAAAGCATTGTTTTTACCACTTACTTATAATAATTGTGTAATATTTCACTAGAATTCGAACAGAATCAAGGTTAATAGTTTCTTGCAAACTTACAAACCTTGTACGATAGATACGTAAGAACAATAGTGTTGTTAATCAGATTTAAATTGTTCAATCTCTACTGTATGACACCAAACACTATGATCCCAAAAAATAATTGAAATGAAACAGTCTCTTAAAATATAGTATTAGTTAAAGAGGTCATTTTCGATACATAATCATATTTTTTATTTAATCTACATATGTAACAGTAAAATTCACAAACAAACAAGGTGATATCAGTTTTCTAATGACACATATTCCAACCAACTTATTTCTGAAAATGTATTCATACTTTAAACGTGTGGTTAACATTTCTTTATGGTGATTTTATTATTTCGAGCACAAAGTGCAACGATATCGTTCAAATTATGATTTAGAATTGAATGGAACCGAATTTTATTTTGAATAGTCAAGCAGAATTAGTAAAGTTGAAATTAAAACAAAATAAAAAAAAACCATACTAACATTTGCCCTAAATTTTTTGTTATCACAATTAATATTAGTAAAGGTGAACTTTAACCAATTTAAGTAAGTAAATTAGTCATATATCGGAAAACATTACTTGTCTTTTGTTTATCGGAATTATTTCAGAACATTTTTTATGAACTCAAAAGAAAAGAAATAGTTATATTCTAATCTATAGTTATAACAAAGTTAATACAAAACTGAACGGTTTTATGTTGTTACTATATAAGGATAATAAATATTTTAAAAAATATTATACGAGATTATCCTATTATGTTTAGAGTACATCTGGGAATGTACATATAAATAATGATCAATACGATCCATAATTCAAAGGACGTAAAGTTTCCTCAGCAATATACAGAGTAGTATATTAAATTCACGTACTGTTGTTTGGTATCATGATAGTTCACACCACGGATTGGTATCAGTTAGGGAGCTATTGATGAAAAAAGATAACTGATCAGTTTTCTTCATTATCACTTGAGGTCTACCGAATAGTACAAACTATTGATTTTACAAGTGAACAAATAGAAGACATTCCCTATAGTAATACGACTACATATATGTTTATTCACTTTATCGGAGTGTAATATTTCAAGTTTTATATGTTACTCTGTGTTATCAAGCCTAAATTATCGCATCATTTAATTACGAATTCTGCAAATACCTTTAGAAGCAAGTTCATAACCGTCAATAAAACCTTATGTATTGGAGTTAATTGTAAGAAAGAGGTTAATTAGGAGATAATTTTAAACTTGATCTTTAACCGATTAATCTGAAAATTTTAACTATTTCTTATGTATGATATTACTGATAGACTTGATGTTCAGAATATCACAATGATTATTATTAAACACTGTTCATTTTATACAAGGTATATAATCACATAAATCCAAAAAGCACTATTTCAAAAGTTGGATGGTTAAAAAGAGATAAGATTTCAAAGTTCAGTTAGTTTCTTAATTGCATCACTTTTGTTTTGTTTATCTGGCATTGTAGTGTTGCATATTAGAATGTAAGTTCCACTAAAGATTTCATTTCATGCAGTAGAAATTATCCACAACTGTCTTGTATGAACATAAAAATGTAGCGCAGATGATATATCAGTTGGGGAAACGAACATGCTAAAGGTTAGCGTTTGAAATGAAAACTCCATCGGAAATCACATTTCAATATATGGTATGACGCTAATGAATATATAAAACTGGTAGAAAATGACCAGATACAATGGATTTATTGGATAATGAAGAAATTATGGATAACAATAATCATCAAAGTTCAAGTTATCGTAAATTGTTTGTTATTTTGCAATAACATGTCCACTAATAGAATTTCGAAGCATTAGATACTATCCTGGTAAAAGTTGATAGCGTACTATCCTAAAAAACTTAAAATAAGTGAAAAGCGACTATGTGAACACTTTAGGTTTTGAGATAATTAATAAAATTAAACCAACTTGAAACCAATGCCCTTCAAGTTTCTCGAAAATATTAAATAGCTTCAAAAACTTTTTAAACTTTCGTAAATTTTAGTGAATAATGTGAACAGAATACATTGACAAAAGTGTACATCCAACTTTTAATAAAATAGCGTCATAATATATCCAAGATTTGTTATTGTTAAAAAGAAAAAAAAACTAGGACCTATATTATCTGGGAAAAAGTTGAAAACATTTTATGTTAGATTGATTGAATGTGTTTAGATTTTTATTTAATTTTATAATCTATGAACATTAGATGAGAATTCAACGAATGAACTTCACAAACTTATTACTAAATATTGCGTGAAATCTATTGTGACGTGTGCTACTGATGTCGACATATATAAGTAGTATGTATCATCAATTGAACGTAAAATACCTGGAGGCGGAAGGTCAAGGAAAAGAGAACGAGAACAAAGAATGGTTGGTGTGCAAATGAAAGAACGATGAAGTCTGAGACAATTGATTGACATTTTGCAGATGAATTATTTACTGTATTTTTCTCAGATTTCAATAAGATGTTCTGTAATTTTATACCCAAGTTTATTTGATTGTCCCGATTTGTGTTCCCGTTCACAACACGTTTATCCTAGAGCTATACTAGCATCTTATCTATCCCAGATTAAAAACAATGTTTCCATTAAAGATAAATATATAGTTTAACTCAAACACCAAAAAAAGTTTTTTTTTAAAATTTAAGTGTACCTTAAAAAAATTCCATAGTTTATACTTTTCAAATGATTACTTCATCTGACAGTATGGATTTTAATCACTGGGTGGTGATAAATGTCATGTGTGTCAAGTCCTTTTTAGTGCAGATCGAATGCTGTAGACCATGTTGCAATGTGGCCACTAGTCTAGGTGGCTTGGCATTGCGCGCACTATGTTGAGGTAAGATGGTGGTTGAAGGTAGTCAACAGGAAACCCTGGACCCGGGTTTCGTGCTACTTGGCACTCGTCAGCAAGGTGTACCTGTATTATTCTTGAGGGAATTGATGCTCACTGACAGATTCGATCGCGTGTCACCCAGCGATCATTTTCATGTGTGTCAGGTTCTTAATGCTGATCGAATCCTATCCTTGCTGGCGAGCGCCAAGTAGCACGAGACCTAGGTCCAAGGTTTCCTTTTGATTACCTCTAACCACCATATTACCTCAGTATGGATTTTAGTCCAATAGTAATTTATCTTATTAACTTAAGGTCATATTAATAGAGGGTATTTATAAGCCACCTAGGATTTACTGAATATTATTAAGTAGCATTTACAGACATTAAGCAAATGCTCCTAAAATATGAATAGTACACTGGAAAGGTTTAAGTTAAAATCTATCACTTTTAAATGCTTAAGTAAGTGACCAAAGAACTTGCTTTTAGTGAACTTGGATTGAAATTTTTTAAAATTCCAAATATTCCCATAATGTAAATTTAGAACAACATATATAAGCGAACAATATTGTTTTCGATTAGATCCTCATCAGCTTTCAGTAATAAGGATAGTAGGTTAGTGAACCTGTGTTAATCCTAACAGGTTGCCTTCCAGTGAAGGTCCAGTTTCTCTTTGAAAATATTCACTGATCGAGCTGATACCACTTGATCGGGCAAAGCGTTCCAATCATTGACTACTCGATGAGAAAAACGGAACCCCACCTTGAGTTTATTAGATCGTGGTTTATGAACCTTGCTATGACCTCGGAGATTATTAGTGCTGGAGGGAGCAAAAAGATAAGACATATTTACACCCAAATCATAATTAAAGATACGAAATGCCAGTATAAGGTCACCTCGAGTCCTACGATACGACAAGGGGAATATTTATATGCATATACGAAATTGTTAAACCAATCAAGGTAGTTTATGAGTCAATGATAACGATGAATAAAACGATTATATAATAAGTGAAAAGTATAAATTGATAGTGTGATGACAGGTGTACTAGATTTTAATAAGAATAATAAAGGCTCAAATCAATGTTACATAATTGGAAATAGGTCAATGATTAGAAAAAATATAGACACTGAAATAATACCCATGAAAATTATTATAAGAAGACGTAATAAGAAGTGTTCAGATAATTGAACCGTGAAACGCATATTTGAGAGAAAATAAAATGGTAGAGGGGGGTAAAGAAAAAATATAATAAACGAAGAGAAGGTTTGAAAAGAAAATAATAACAATTTTAAATAAATTCGTTTATTAAGGCCAAAGGAGAGATAAGGGTGTTACAAATTTCTTCTGAACACAAAGATTCGGCTTGGCTCGAATTCCTATAGCTTCTGCTATGTGTAAGAGACGAAATCGAACACCATAAGGAAAACTAGTGGGGTTACGATAAATAACTTTAAATGACTTGTTTCTGTCCACTAAATGACCGCTATCGATTAAGTGTGATAGAATTGAGCTGCGTATTGTCTTTACGTTACCTTTTCCTAACCAAGAAGGGAGGTGTTCACTAACTCTTTGGTTCAGTTGCCTGGTAGTGCGCCCAATATAGCTTTCTCCGTAGAAGCAGTTGAATTCATAGATACACATAGAAGTGGCATAACCAGTTAACTTGACCTTTAGTTGGGCAATCACCATAGATCGGGTCGAATACGATAGACAGAGGTTGGCAGTATTAAACGTTCTGTTTACTGCTCTAGTCAGTCTATCACGTAATACATCACTAGCTACATCACCATTGAATTGCAGCTTCAAGAAAAGAGGTTTCTTATTAGCTGCTAGTGTCGCTATCTTCTTGCTTGTTACACGCAAGTGTTTCTTCAAGAAACAGTTGACACAACTGATACGGAATTAGAGCAAATTCATAATATGTTGATTGAAATAGGATATCCACAGGGTTTCTTGAAGAAACACTTGTGTAATCGTTTTATTCATCGTTATCATTGACTCATAAACTACCTTGATTGGTTTACTAATTTCGTATATGCATATAAATATTACTGTATATTAAAGCCTGATGAGGATGTAATCGGAAACAATATTGTTCGCTTATATGTGTTGTTCTAAATTTTTTTAGTCAAGGCTTAATTTCAGCGCTTGATGAACGACCCACAAATTGATGAACAGATTGTGTCGCCTTATTGAAACAGTAAGAAATATAAGTAAACTCGTTTACGAACAAATTACTGAAGTGATCGGTAAATTTTTTAATCACCCTGACATTTTGAATAAACTGCTAGAAAACGGAGATGTGAGTAAAATTCAAATTAATATGAATTAACTTTCTGAAATCAAGTCTCTTACCCATCAAATCGCAATCAGAAATGAATTTTCAGTGATGATTAAAATGCAAGGTTACTAATTAAACGTGGTTTGTTAAAATGATAATGGTTTAGTAGTTTTAAATTAAGGTCAATACATCGTGAATTAACTATTCATAAATTTTTTTCATGTTATTGAATAGTGGGAACCACTTTGAATGAATTAATTGAAAAAATATGGAATTCTAATTTGTTGATTAAAGTCATTGAATTTCATTCAATATCAATTACTTTCAAACAATAAATATATGAACATGAGTTGGACACACAAATTACAACTTGGGCACTGTTATGAATTGAACATAAGTGCGTATTACTGAATGAAAGAGAAACCTCGGGAATCTCTGTCGTCCTATATGTGATTAAAGTGCTGTAACCAATTAATATGAAAATGTAACTTAAACTATGTGGTACAGTACAAATCGATGTAGTTTGGTATATTTATTCATATCGTTTAGTGAAATAGTATAATTTCTTGGATAGGTTAACAAATGCAATTCAATGCTCATAATCATAGAATGCTCAAATTTAATTTTCTGATTCCAGTACTTCTTAGTCTCTGGTTTCAGTGGTAAGAGAAATTGTTTAAATATCTTAAGTAGCTCAGCCTTCAGTCATCAATATTTTTACATCACTGAAATCATGAGTGATGTTATTATTGTTAATTTGTACAGGTGGAAAATCAATATGGTCAAGAATTTATTTTTAAGAAACAAGCAATTTTTATTCAGGAAATGAATAACAATTTGACATAAAACTCAATTATCATAATTGTTATACAGAAACATTATATTTACTCATTAGATTATTTTCATTCAAATCATTGGAAAAGAAAACAATTCTCGTTGATTCTGAGTTATGTCATATACATTTGAATCTGAAATGTTTCTTCTTTTTTAAAACGAATTTCAAAGAAAATTAAGGTTAGTTACAAAATCGCTAGTAAATTTCATGTGTGTATACCATAAGAAAAAAGGGGTTTGTTCTGATAAATGGTTTTCAAATCACACAGATAATCGAAATGTTTCATTAGGTTGCAAAGTCATTGAACTTTAGTTCTAATGATAATCATTTTACCAGAAAGTTGTGGAACAGTTTTACTTACCGATGTCCTTTAATTTTATGCATTCCATCATATAACATAACATTCGGTTTTACCAAATCTTCAGTAAACACGAGATTGAATAAAAATTCTACTTTTATCAGTATAGTGTAATGTGCAAATGATATCACATTTTTATAATTACTTTATTATCCCCATATTAGTGATTTGTACTGAAATTAAACAAGAATCTATATTCATTTTAGTTAAAATATCAATGAACGTGTGGCTCTTTTTAACATATTCGGAACATTTTACTAGTACAAAAGTGAACAAACATTTACTGTATTATAAAAAAAATCAAATTATTAAATTATCGGTTAAACGTAAATGGAATTTCGTGAATAAACTGAATTACAATTTCTGTATAATTTTACCTTGAATATTTTCATTCTAGTATGTTTTTATATCTAGGTAAACACTGCAAAACTTACGACACGTCAACTTTGTTATTTGACTAGTGCATAATTTAACTTGAATTTACATACAATTTGAAATGTAACAAGAATATGTGATGAACTCCTATAATAATAATTATTATTATTTTCTCTGGTACTTGGTGATTGAGCACTTGAAAACTAAGTAGACTAATAAGTGATCATGTAATAAATTTTGTAATAGATGTATACTTTTATGTAATTCGCTAGTGACCGAATGTTTCACAAAACTAAGGAGTAAAGATGTCACGGATATTCAATGTTTGACAACGCTTTTGTACATCACAATTTTATAATCGATGGGTAACGGTCCAGTCAAATCAAAAGTTAGGAATGAATGAGTATGAAGATATATCTGGAAAGTTTTCGATATGTTGAGAAGCGTTTGATCTAAGTTAGCCATATTATTATGAGGAATATCTGGCAAGTCTATGAAGAATGCTCCTTTAGTGATAACTACGATTAATCAGACTTTTTATTGTACTCATTCATTCCTGACTTCTGACTTTACTAAATCCAACTGTGTTACATGACAAGCCCTCATCCTGGTCAAGTGAGAAGAGGAAGACCAAAGAACACATTACGCCGAGAAATAGATACAGATATGAAAAGGATGAACAACAGTCGGATAGAACTAGAAAGGAAGGCCCAGTACAGAGTGGGTTGGAGAACGCTGGTCAGTGCCCTATTCTCCACTGGGAGTAAAAGACGTTAGTATGTTAGTAAGAAGATGAGTTCATCGAAGATACTGTAACTATTGGACAACACAGGGTAGTGTGTTTTAGAATGTAAAATGTCCTAGGCTGATTTTCCCACTGCACCACTAATCACATTATATACACTGAAATTCATCTACGTGTCCCCGTAAGTAAT